GACCGTCCCACGGAACATCCGACCGTCCCACGGAACATCCGACCGTCCCACGGAACATCCGACATTGAAGAGCTTTTTAACCTCATCCTGAAGACAAGCTTTAGATTAAATTCTGCATCTTATTATTAGAAGAAGCTTTTTAGGTCGTTTTTGTTGGTGACTGAAAATGTTTCATCCTTGTTCTTCAGTCTATGTTCTATAGATCTGCACTAAGCTTCTAGCTGCCCATCACAGTTCATCTGGAGGTTTCTTCCTGTTAAAGGGGAGTTTCTGCTGAGCGTGAGGGATTGCTGTGAGCCAACCACACGTAGGATTGGAAGCAATCAGCTGGTTTTCCTGAGAAAAGTTAAACCTTTAATCTGACTGGATGATCTAGTTGGTCTGGATCTAGAGACTGACCCAGGATGACTATAGAAATAAGGAGAAGAGAATCCATCACCTCCAAAGTAGTAGGTTCCTCCGGTCTTGATCTGGGCAGGAATGGCCGTCCTCACGGTGGACGCCTCGTCCCCATCCACTGTCAGCATGGCGTAGTTGTCCAGAGCGTTCAAATGGACGCTGTGCCATTGGCCGTCGTTCAGACCTAAACCTTCAGAAGAAAAAGACTTTTCACCATCAGAACCATATACAAAGGTCTCAATCAAAACCAGTCCTGCAAAGGATTATGGGGAATATTTCTGGCTCTGTGTGGCTTTATCATCAAATAAAGAAGGATGCTGGTTTCCATGGTGACTGGAGGGGTCCCTGTCCTCGCTGCTCCAGGAAAGGTGGACTCACCTGATGAAATGTCCACCCTGGTGCTCCTCTTCTGGGTCACGTTTATGTAGACCGTCACCTTGCCCTCCATCAGCCCCAGCTCCAGCCACCCCTCGGCCAGCTGGGTGAACATCAGCACCCCGTTGGGGTTCCACGTCCTGAAGGACAGGCTAACTGAGAGCGTGTCGCTGTCCCTCTGACCCGGCAGCCGCAGGAAGGACGACCAATTAAAGTAGACGGGGAAGTAGGTGGACTCGGCACAGGTGAACGTCAGGTTCCGCTGCAGAGGAACACCACACACTCTTTAAAGGCTGTGATCTCTGTCACTATTATTGACTGGGTGTCTGGCAGGTGACGGCGGGTCAGCTGACATCCGCCGTCCCCCAGCTAAAGCTAACGCCACTACAGGAAGTGCTCCTGATTCTGAACTCAGACTTTAGGTCTGGATCCTGTCAGTCCAAACAAGAACGATTAAAAACCACCATCTTCTCTCTCTGCTGTCAGAGGTCCAACGTTCAACATGAACCACAGAAGAAGAATAAGAAGGAAGAAGAAGAAGGGGGGCTCTTACGAAGCTGGAGGTGTCCACCTTCCTCCTGCGCACCAGGCTGGTGATGTTCTCCTGGTTGTAGGTGATTCCTTCCATGCAGCCGACGAAGTTCTGCTTCCCACCCACAGCAGCTTTGGCTGATTCAGAAAGTCCTCCGATGGACAGCTGGAGACAGATGGAGGGACATCACCACCATCATCATCATCATCATCATCATCATCATCATCATCAT